TGGAAAGAGTTAGAGGTGAGCGTAAGCCGATACCCCGAGCTTACATGGAAGTGATGCTTGTAACCATTAATTATGGTTAAAGCGGAGATTAATCTCTTCGGCGAGAGATTTGACGGAGATTTCAAAAGATTTTAATGAGTCTGGGAATTTGAAAATTGAGGTGGATCGAAGGGCATAGAGAATTTTAGGAATGTAAAAAAAGTTTTTGAGGTGAAAAAAAGCTTGATAAGAGGGAGAAACTTAGAGATGTTTTTGAAATGAAGTAAGCTGGATGATGCGTTAGTGAAGAATTGATGGATTCCAGGCCACCGACTGGAGAGCCGAGATGACTGAGGGATGAGAGTTCGGTTGTATGGAAGTTGTTGTTGAATGGGATGGAGCAATGAAATGGGCAGATCTCAGTTTTTTGTTTGTTGAGTGAGAGACCGATAGCATGGGAATGTATTTTGATGATGGTGAGTGCCTTAGCAACCTCTTTAGGGGGACCGCAGAATATTCCGTCATCAATGTACAAAGTATGCAGTGGGAGATTGCAGTTGGAAGAAATGTTTTTGACCATTTCATTGATTCCAATGCAGAAAAGTATCGATCCCAAAGGATCGCCTTGTTGGATCCCTTCAGATGATGAAAGTAAATAGTTGTTGAATTGGAGATGAGATGGCTTGGAATAGCAGGAATGGAAGAATTGAGAAAAGGTGGGGAATGAGTGGTACATTTGCAGGAGAAAGTGAGAGCGGCGAATGGAGTTGAAGGCGTTAGAGTAATTAATTTTAACGAGGATTTCGTTACTTAGGTTGGTTTGGAGATGGATACGAGTAGCGTGTGTTATTTCGCAGCCACCTTGGATGCCGATTCCTAGTTGGTGAAGGCTAAAATTAATGCCGCGTTGTCCTTAATTTTGGAAGATATTAGTTTAGCGACAAGACGGCGAAATACGGTTCCGATTGCGATTGGGCGGATATCCTTATTGGGTTTTTCGAGTGCGATTAGTTTAGCACCGAAAAAGAGTGGTCTGATGGGCTCGGGAACGAGATCGTGTGCTATTTTGTTACAAAGTTACAAAATGTTGTTATATTTTGTAAAATTGGGACCTGGCTGACTATGAGGGGGGATGTGAGATCCTGGAGGAAGATGGGACGAAGCCCATCGTAACCGGGAGAAGAGTCGTGGTGGAAGGATAGAAAAGATTTACGCACTTCGACGGGGGTGAAATCAGAAGGAAAATAATTGGGAGGTGGAGGTATGAAATCAACTCCGGAGGGGTGCTTAAGTTTGACTTTGTTGAAACTTTCTTCATTCGTTGCTAGTGGCAAATGAATCATCAGATGCTACTAAGCGAAGAGCGGATTTGATGTTTAAGTTGCTAATTTTGTTGGAAATTAACTTTGCCTTTAATTGTAGTCTGGAGAGTTTTTTGGGTTCATGAGAAGATGTTGTGGTTGTGAGGGTAAGGGGATGTAAGGTTGCGTCTTTGATTTGTTGGGTTAAAGATTTCTGAATCTCTGGATTGGGAGGTTAAAGATTCGTGAATAAAAATGCGAAGAGTTTGAACCAATGATCGAGAGAGGAGAAGTTATTTAATAATTATTGAAAACATGTAGAGAGGGCTTTAATACTTGTACTCTGGAGCCTTTAAGAATTCTAGAGATAATGGGAGGTTTGTCGGATTTTAGGAAGTTGATGATGTCGCCATGGGTGGTAGGTTGGAGGGGAATAAATGTGTCTGATGTGGTTGGTGTGTGGGCGTTGTTGGATGAGGTGGAAGAATGGCTGTGAGTAGAAAAAATGGAAAGGAGATTTAGGAAGGGAGGAGAAGGACGCTTCCCGGACTCAGGACAAACGATGCCATTGGTTTTATGTTTGGCGAAGAGGCCGGGTTTGGTGATTTTTATGTTTTTAGATTATGCAGGACAGTGTACCATGATGTGGATAAGGAGAGGATGTGAATAATTGTGTAATGAATGGGCATGTGACAGAGAGTAAGAAGAAATAATCTGCAGAGAATAATGATGTAAAGATATTGTTTTTAAATATAAAAGGAAAGAATGGCCATAAAGGTTTTTAGAGTTGGTTGGTGTTTGATAGAGGTTGGTTATTTGTTTTAATAAATGTAATGGTTAAAGTAAATAAAAAATTGAAAGACTGGGGAATATATATAAAGGGGGGGGGAAATAATTATTTTTGGGTATGTTTATGAAAGGGAGAAGAAAAATTATTTTGTATTAATGGGGATATTAAGAGGAATGTAAGAGAATTTGAGTCTTGAAGAATATATATATATAAAAAAGAAAAAAAAATTAATTTTGGTTCAATTGTGAGAAATAAATGTGTATAAGGATATAACTAAGAATTCATTACGTTTTGAATATAAAAATTTTAAAACTAAAAACATATAATCATATTGCAATTTTATGATTTGAATTTATAAAGAGAGATCTACTTTTCTCTGAGATTTGGCTAATTATCTAGAATCAAATTTTTATCTGGAATAATCTCCTTATAAATATTTAATAGGGCTAATCTATTTAAACGGTTTTCACCCGTGCTATTTCTTTAATAAACCTTTTCAAAGTTGAAAAAGATCTTTCATTAGTGCAGGTACTAATCGTAAGGTAGCTAAAATAAAAAGCAATGTTTTGATATTAGGCAGGGAATCTAAGTGCAATTACACATGGGAAAAGCCTGCAAAGCAATTCTTGTTCTCAAAGAGTGCTCTATTCTGTCAAGATTTTTATACCAAAATTTGACATCACAAAGTAACTTTTCATACGATCCTAATAAATTAACAGAATAAAACTATGAGATTTTCTTAATATTCTCTCGCGTTTCAAGTGTAATCAACAATTTAGACTCACCGTCAAAATAAAATAAAAGCTTGCTTTATCTTTACCAAATTAAACGATTTTCTTTTAAATTATAAAAAATAAATTAAATTTGTTTATTAATATAAATTATATTATTAAATTTATATGTTTTTCAAAAAAAAATATCTTTCGAGATATGTAGATCATATTTTTTCTCCATCCCGGCTCTACTATGCTAGGAAATATTTACAATATCTATATAGCCCTTCCCCCACCTGTCATTTAAAAAAAACAAATTTAAATTAAAAATTTTTTTTAAGAGGTTATGCCACCCCCCCTTGTCTACGCCACTGGTTACCTCATTAGCAATTATATAAATAGGAATTAAGGGTACAAAAGTCGACTTCTTTAACCTTTTATTGATGTTTAGTTTTAAATTGAAAACTAAATTAGTTAGAATATAAAATTTATTGATAATTAGGAATTCATAATTAAGGAGGGAACATAAAAATAAAATTAAATTTTTTTAAAAAATATTGATCATCTTATGTCCAGTAGAAAATTTAAAATTTATATATGGGCTTAAATTAAAAAAAAAATTTTTCTATTATTCATTTACTTTTTCTTATAATTTTCTCAATAATTAGCGCGGCTTGATAGTTATTTAAAAAAATTAGGCAAATATATAAAATACGAAAAGACTGCGCTGTATATGAACATTACAATGCAATAAAAGGCTTTTTTTTTATCGTTTAAAATCTTTAAGGCATTAAAATTAATCTAGGAATAATATCATGTTTATTGAAAAAAAGTTATAATTTTTTTTATTGCATTGAAATGTTCATATATAGCGCTATCTAGTGTTGTTAAAAGGCACTATTTTAAAAAACAGCTAAACCAATATTTTAGCCAAAAAATATTATGCAAGCCTGGATATTTGCTAATAGGTGGCAGAAAGGTTTGGACATTATTAACGAACTCTTGCTTAATATTTATAGGCTAATATATTGGGTTAGCAGCCGTTTAGAAAAATCAAGTCATTTAACAACACTAGCGCTATCTATACGTTTATTATACATTATTCCCGATATTTTTTAAAAAATTACCATGCCTCGCTAATTAAAAATTATTAGAAAATTAGTAAATTAATAAATAACCTGAAAAATTGAAGCTCATAATCATTTCAAATATTAATTTTTAATTTTCTAATGGGCATAAGATGGCCAATATTTGAAAAAATTTAATTTTGATGTTTCCTCCTTAATTTGAATTATTGACTTAGTTATCAATATTAGATTCAATTCGAACTAATTTAGTTTTTAAAACTAATAAAAGTAAAAGGTTAAAGAAGCTGATTCTTCTGACCTTTAATTCCCATTATCTCAGGTATTGCAAATCCCTATTATAAAAACTATTTATATTTAAGGCGAATTATAATAGATATAAGGATAAATTAGAGGATTAAATAAGATTTAAATTTTGAGTTTTATTTTCCTAATTCCATAAAATTTATAATTTCGCCAAGCATATGCCCTAGGGCCCCGGGTCGCGTAATCACAAAATTAGGGCTTGCTGGCATTTTTCCTTAAAAATTTTTTGCACAATTATACAAAGACTCGACCCTGCATTCACACTTCTTAATGCATTTTTGTATTCTTTGCCGCGAATTCACGTTAACTTTGAATTCAGTGTAATCTACTTTTAAATTTAAGAGAAGCCTATTTTGGTAGGAGTAATTTGTTAAAAAATGACTGAAAGTGGTTACTGCGCAATGCTTGATTTTTTTTTCGAGCAAAAATTGTGATTTGGCGAAATTGATTGCGTATTTGTTTTGCTTTGCCACTCTCCCGGACAGGTCCATTCCGATTCGACCAAACTCGGGTGGGGTAGATTGATAAAAATTTTCTCGGATTTGGTTATATTCTGTACCTTGATTTTAAAATTTATTTTAACAAATATTTAACGTTTCCATAATGTTTTTCATGAATATTATTTCCAAGGATAACGCCAAAATTAAACATCCTTCTTCAGCGGTTGAAATTTTTTCCGATTTCATTAATACGCACTTTTTAAATAGTTAAATAGCTTACTCTTAGCTTAATTTTATTTCTTATTTTGGTTTTTAGAATATAAGTTTAAAACAATTTATTTTAATATGTATGTTTATGATTAATATGGGGATGAAAAAAAAAATAGGAGGCACTAACTTCGCCCACCAAATCCGAAAATATCGACGCCCCCAATACCTTCGATAAAATACCTATCGCTTTGATCGCATTCCAGATTCTAGAGAATATTTCTAAAAATCCGGGCCAAGGTGTGTACGATCCAAATTTCGGTAGGCGTTCTGTTGAAGATTTCGAGAAATTTTTCTTTGGTCGCGATGTCGTGAATGAATGCAATCGTGCCACCAATAAGCATGAGCCAACGGAATTCCTCGAAACCGAGGAAATTTTGCTGAATTTTAAGGAGCTTTACGAGTTTATTTCATTTTGCAAATTCGCCACCGGCTACCTAGGGAACGAGGACGAAGACATTATCAAAGTATTGCTAGAGCTTTTAGATACCCTGCCGCCCATGGAATTGCCGCAATTCTTTTTAATCGATACAAACGTTACATCGAATAAAGGTATTTAATTAATAATAAAAATTTAGTGGAGGCCGAACCTATCAGATTTTACCGATACTAAACTGATATCGGCCTATCCAATATCATATCTGATTTTGTATTCTGTAAACATACTAATCTTTTAAATTTTTAGTGCATACATCTAGAGTTGCAAAATGGTTCCGCCGTTTTTAATAATCGGCTCAAATCGAGCGATTCTGCATCACTACATACATCTACTCATCTTATATACTTTTTAATAGTATAACATCTATAATTTAACTATACCATAACATAAGTCATTTAAATATATTACAATGATCAGTTATACTATATTCATGATTCTAAAAAGTATATAATATAAAATATTTTTATTGATAAATCACTTATTTATATAACATTAATCTATTTATATAATAAGTAACACAATGAAATTTGAAATAATTATTTTTAAACACGCATTTGCATTCTAAAAATTTTATAATATAATATTGCCCGATAACCGATATAAGATGAAATATCGGCCCGATCTGATAAATATCGGTACATCCCTAATAAGTAATAATTATAAATACATTTATGAAATTTGTTAAAGTCATTTTAGTGAATAAACTCTATATAGATATTTTTATTACTCTTTGAGCTCAAATAACACCATGCTTCCAGCCATACATTTGCGGCCCTGTCAAACTTTTTCACATAAATTCTTTTGGCCATTTATTTAGATTTCATAAGGATTTTAATATACTATTTAGATACCAGATCTAGATGCATTTTTAGAGGTATTTTGTGTGAAAATTCGAGCAAATGTTACAATTACTATTAATCTCGTTTCTAAGATGTGAGACTGGAATAAATATTATTTGCTTAATTTTTTTATACTAGTTTTGCCCTAGCGTGGCCCTCAAAGCGATATGAGTTTTCGAATAACGGCCATTCAACATTTATTTAGATTTATTCACTTTATCCAAAAAGGAAAAGGCATAAATATTTTTCAATGCATGCATGCCAAAGAATATATCGATAATGCAACAAACAAATCAGAAGTTATTCTCCTATAATTTAAGAAAAACTGATTTAATATGATGGACTAGGCTTAGTATTAAGAAAATGATCAGAACATGTCCACTTGCTGTATTTTATAATATATGATGGCTACAATTGCATTGAATTGTTATGTAATTATGAATGTCCCTATTCTCAGATCAAATCATTATAAACCCACGCTATATAATTTAAACTATCCTCAAGCCTCCCACATCAGACCTTAGCCAAAATGTGAAATTCCTTTATTGTAATCAAGGGGGTGGCTTAGACAAAGGGGGCTTGGGGTTAATACTTACCTCCGCAGGGGAAAAAATATGATTATGTAAAATTTTGTTTTTCATAATATTTTATATTGTTATCTAGATTGCATTCATATCTTAAATTGTAAAATCACTTCTTAATTTTATAATTCTAAAAAATCTTCATAAAGTGCCAGAAAAAATCTTTTAAAATCTACGAATAAAACAACACTACTATAGATACATTTAATTTTTTAATAAAATTTTTACTAAAGGAATTATTATATTGTATATAAAAATGTTTCAAAAATGGGACGCTTCCTCAAAACGATATAATTTATATGTGAATGACGTTAGACCTGTTCTATTTCCAAGTGTAAAAGTGCACATAGTATTACACTACTAAATAATTGCTCAATCTTGTCGCTTGAGGGTATGGCTGGAACCAATAGTAAAAACCCAATATTAACAAAATATTGTATTGGTATTGGGTCTAAAATATTGGTATTGGTTTAAACACTATTTCTTTTATTGGTATTGGTTTATATTGGTATCTATTGGTTTATATTGGTATTGGTTTAAATTCAAATTACTAATTACTAATTAAAAGAATAGAAATAGTGATTATAAAACCCTTAATTTCTAATTTTAAATAAACATGGGAAAAAAAATCATGATTCCATAAAATCAGGGCTAAGAACCAACTCTCAAAATTTTACTGAATTCAAATTCTTTTTTTAAACTAGGAATTTATTAGGTGATGTGAATATAAAATTTTTTGATTTAATCATGTATTTTTTGTATCAACAATAATAAACGTATTGAATTTGAACCATATTTATCACAAAGAACATAGCAAAATAAGTAAACTAAAAATGTAACATAACTGTCTATTTATACAAAATATAATGCAAAAGAATGATATAATTTTAATATAAGAAGAGGAAATAATTTTATGTATTTAAGAAGAATCTTGCATGCGCATCCAACTTTTTAGGCACAGGCAAGCTTGTATAGTATGCTCATCTAGTGAACAACGTTGGTCTGTTATAACATACCGTCCTTCTGAAAAAGCCCTTTCAGAGCTAGATGAGGTGGCCGGAATTGCTAGATAATCTCTGGCAATTTTTGATAATACTGGATATCTATTTTTATTTAATTTCCACCAATCTAATGGATTTGTATCATTGGAAATTGTGGCTTCATCCACTTATTTACTTATTTCTAAGTTGTTATTATTATGAGGTTTCACCCGATAAATTTTGTCATAAAAGGACAATTTTTTGTTATTTTGTGCTTCATTTGTAAGTTCCGCTGAATTGTTATTATTTATTTTATAAATATTGTATTCATTAGTAAGATATCCAATAAGAGTTTCCATATTATTATGCTATAATAAATGACTTGATAGTTTAAATCTTGGGTCAATCATTGTTGAAATAATAAAGAGGTGTTTATTAAAATTATAGTATTTATTAAGTTTTGTTAAGGCAACTAAAGAAGCTGTCTTTAAAATAGCATTACAATTATTATTATAACTCCACATGCTCAAAAATACTGGAATATAAAGGAATAATTGTTGAAATTGATGGAGTATTGGCACATGAGGCCATCTCTATAGCAAAATTAAATGGTTCCAGAAATTCTCGGTATATTTCTATATAATTCCAGGCTAAGGCACTAATATAATTTTCTTGATTGGTATTTTGTAAATGATTGGTATATGTTGTCAAATAGGGTTTGAGCAATATTGCTCTTTCAAGCATTTGGCATGTTAAATTCCAACGTGTTATATCCAAAATTGGGTGAGGAAATTTTAAGTGTAGATTTTTTTCAAGATTAAAAATTTTTAAAAAATTTGTTGACAACATTTTTATTTATACTGTTTATCGAATACTAGTAAAATTTACATGTTGGCTTCGCTTTAGAATTCGTGCTTTTAAAAGTTTGTCAAACTTCATGCTCAGGACTGCGTCTTGTTATAAAATTCAGATTCATAAAAATTCTTTTAAAATATTAAATAAACGGAAAAGAACAAATGATATATAAAGATCGTAGAATCATAAAATTCAATAATATTCTGAATCAGAGGAAAAATAAACCTTAATTTATTTAGACATAGTCTGAAAAATAACCACGGGAAAATATGAAAATACATAATAGAGGTATGCAATAGGCTGGTTTTTACCCCAGAAGCCCTCCCGTTCAATATTCTTAAAAAATTTAACCTGCTCGACAACCCACCTATAGTTTTTAAAAAATATACCCGCTTGCCCGTCTAAAATTCTTTACCCGCCCGCCCATTATTTATAAAAAAATTTATCCCACGCCTGGCATATTTTAAATAAGCTCATTTTTTGCATCTAATTTAAAAAAATGATTTAGTTTCAGCGCTACATTCCTACAAGAAAGTTTTTTAATTCAGGAAATTGCTATATTAAGCCTAAATATTCAATAAATTACGGATAAGGAATTTATTTGATCTAATAAAATCTTTATATAATAATATATAATTAATATTTATTGATACTAAAAACCTTCCAGTAACTAATTTTTCAGAAGAAGCACTGTTTGTTAGAATTGCCAATATTTTTCTAGCTGATCTTGATAGCTTAATCTTTTTCTTATCGTTTCCAGAGTTGTTAAACGCTACTTTTAAAAGTAGCGCGCTATCGCTATTTCTCAAAAAAAGTAGCGCGCTATTATCTACTATTTTTTAAAAGTAGATTTAGCTATTTTTAAGCTACTTTTTATATAAAAAAATTAAAACAAATTTTTTTATTTTTTACTTATAATGATATTGTATAGTAAATATATAAATATCAGCATTTATAAATATTAAAATATAGTTAGTTTTGATTATAAAATAATTTATGTAATAAAAATAAATATTTATGAATTTGTTGCATTTTAATAATAAAATCATTTCAATATAATCATCCCCAAGTCTAGAGCGACGATCAGAAAGTATAAGTTTTGCCTTACTAAATAATCTCTCGACACTAGCACTTGAGGGCAAGGGAGTATTTAATCTCATATACATATTTTTAAAATGAGATAGATTATATCAAAAATACTCATTTGAGTATTTTTTTGATTTAAAGAAGGCGTCTTAGTGGATTTTCTATTATATTATCTTTTATTTCAAAAAAATTATTAGTGAAAGTCTTCATGGTTGTAATTGAGCCATCTTTGTTTGGGGTGAGACTATTTCATTGGCATCATCACTTATTTCCCCCTCTTCCAATATATGTTAAATATCATTCTGATCTCATCTTCAGCAGTATCCTCAACAAATATTCTATATTTATATTAAATAGGACAAATTATTCATCCAGTTTTTAATAGAAATATGTAGTAATATCGAAAATGGAGTGGAAAAATCATTTGGTAGGTATTCTAAATTTTGAACCTCAGGAATTATGATGTAACTAAGCAAAAATATTTTACCAAATGAATACATTGAATTAGCAATTAATCAATAAGAAATAAATATTGTAAAAATTTACTATTAGAATGTAAAAATTACAATTTACCTTTAGGTGTTTCATGAGGTTATAGCTACTGGATTGATTTGAGGAGATGAAATATTTTTTTACATTTTAAACAAATAAATTTGAAGCCAGTTTTGGTTTTTATGGGCCGGGCCGTATTTTAAATTTTTTAAATATACCCGGGCGGGCCGGGCCTAAAAATTTTTTTTAAAATATATCCGGGCCGGGCCGGGCTTAAAAT